CGCCGGGCGGCGGCGGCGGCCGGGCCGCCATGGAGGAGGAGCGGGGGTCGGCGCCCGCGGGGTCGGCGCTGGAGAAGAACGTGGCCGAGCTGACCGTCATGGACGTGTACGACATCGCGTCGCTCGTGGGCCACGAGTTCGAGCGGGTCATCGACCAGCACGGCTGCGAGGCCATCGCGCGCCTCATGCCCAAGGTCGTGCGGGTCCTGGAGATCCTGGAGGTGCTGGTCAGCCGCCACCACGTCGCGCCCGAGCTGGACGAGCTGCGCCTGGAGCTCGACCGCCTGCGCGTGGAGCGCATGGACCGCATCGAGAAGGAGCGCAAGCATCAGAAGGTGGGCGGGGGCCCCCGGGCCGAGCTGGTGGCCCTGTGCCCTGGGCCAAGTTGCTTAACCTCTCTGGGCTTTGTTTTTCCGCTCCGTGCCGCTGTGATCACAATGGCATCCCTCCGCGGAGAGGGCCGGGGGAGGGGCGGGGGGGGGTGATCCTGGTAGTGATCCTCCGGAAGTGAACACACTCCTCAGAAAGTGTGGCCCAGTAATTCATCCCACCCCAGAGCTCCCGCCCAGAGCCACGGGATGATCTCCAGCGGGGGCCCAGGCTGTGGGTTCACCTTCGCAACAGGAGGACCCTGTTCTGTTAGCGGGTTCCCCGAGGGAAAGCGCTCCCTGCCTTCCTTTATCTCCCGGAACTCCGAGGAGGAAACGGAAAGATGCGGGGTGGGGGTGGGGAGAGAGGGTCCCGGCCCCAGGGGAGGTGATCTACGTGGGGACAGCTTTAAGGCCAAGTGTCCACCTGGAGCCCAAGTCGGAATCCCAGCCTCCCCACTGGGAGAGAGCAGAGGCGCCTGGGCAGAAGGAAGTGGAGACGCCGTTTCCTGCCCCAGCCTCAGCCCCTCTCCTGTCAGACCCTTCCGACTAGACTGAGAATGGGAGGAAATGGCTATCCTTGGGGAGCTGGAGAAGGGCCTGGCTTGCTGTGTGGATTCAGGAAATATAATTGGCCTCTCTGAGCATCCCTGTTAGGCCATCCCCCATTGGGCGCCGGGATGGATAAGTGTGTTTTCAAGGAAATTGGCCCCAGCTGGGTGTGCTGCGTTTAACCTGTGTGCCACAGACCGGTCTCAGTGTGTGCAACCTCAGGGTCCCCTATCCTGGAGTCGGGAGGGACGCTCGGCTCCTGAGCCGGTGCCCGTGGCATTGCCCAGGTCACACGGCTGAGTTTCCTGCAGGCTGTGTGTGCATGGCGTATCACCTAGGCTCTGTGTTCCTCAGTCCCCCAGCTGTGAACGGGATAATCTTAGCCTGTGTCTTGTTGGGTGGTGGGGAGGATGGCTGTTAGTTTACACAGAGTACTGCGGCCAGGGCTTAGCTGTGTCCCTTGTTACCTGAGACAGGACAGAACTGTCACTGAACTGTCCACAGGGGGAGACCCAGACACCTTTGCCTCTCTCCTCCCTCCTGGGGGACCAGGAGGAAGAGGCTCTGACCCGCCCCATACCCTGTCCCCAACCAGCAGCACCCTTGCTCACCAGGACTGAGGTCCAGTGACCAGCCAGCCAGCTGCACCTGTTGCTCTGTGAAGCAGACAGCCAGGAAAGCAGCCACGGGGAACAGCCAGGTGCTCCCTGAGGGGCCTGGACAGACCCTCAGCCCTGCAGCCCTGTGGTGGGCACCCTGGTCAGAGAACCCTCATGAGTGAGGCCCGAGGTACAGAAGGAAGCCCAGCACAGCCCTAGATGGACGGCAGGCGGGGCCCGGGCCCAAGGCAGAGCAAGCAAGCCCCCAGATGCACTTCTCAGCAGCCCCAGTGTGGCTCAGGCCACTGGGAAGGAATTTCGAGTTTTTTTTTGGGGGGGTCCGGTTGTGGGGCCTGAACTCTGGTCTGGGCGCTGTCCCTTAGCGCTTCAGCTCAAGGCTAGCACTCTACCACTTGAGCCACAGCACCACTTCCGGCTTTTTTTCTTTTTGCTTATGTGGTGCTGGGGAATCGAACCCAGG